CTGGTCCGTGTTACAAGCATACTATCAAAAATAGTGTTATTATTTGCATATCTTAGCTACTTGTTATACTATAGTCTAAAATAAAGGGAGGTAAGCTTGTAGAAAAATGCAGCGGTGGAGTTTCTTAACAAAAGCTGTAGGGTTCAACAATCCTAATGAAACAAGTAAATGAGCTACTGTACTACTACATCAATCTGTACCTGTACTACTACATCAATCTGTACTACTACATCAATCTGTACCTGTACTACTACATCAATCTGTACCTGTACTACTACATCAATCTGTACCTGTACTACTACATCAATCTGTACTACTACATCAATCTGTACCTGTACTACTACATCAATCTGTACTACTACATCAATCTGTACATGTACTACTACATCAATCTGTACCTGTACTACTACACCAATCTGTACCTGTACTACTACATCAATCTGTACTACTACATCAATCTGTACTACTGTACTACTACATCAATCTGTACCTGTACTACTACATCAATCTGTACCTGTACTACTACATCAATCTGTACTACTACATCAATCTGTACCTGTACTACTACATCAATCTGTACCTGTACTACTACATCAATCTGTACCTGTACTACTACATCAATCTGTACCTGTACTACTACATCAATCTGTACCTGTACTACTACATCAATCTGTACCTGTACTACTACATCAATCTGTACTACTACATCAATCTGTACCTGTACTACTACATCAATCTGTACCTGTACTACTACATCAATCTGTACCTCTAATACTACCTGTACTACATCAATCTGTACCTGTACTACTACATCAATCTGTACTACTCAATCTGTACTACTACATCAATCTGTACCTGTACTACTACATCAATCTGTACCTGTACCTACATCACTACTACATCTCTGTACTACTACTACATCAATCTGTACTACATCAATCTGTACCTGTACTACTACATCAATCTGTACCTGTACTACTACATCAATCTGTACTACTACATCAATCTGTACTACTACATCAATCTGTACTACTACATCAATCTGTACTACTACATCAATCTGTACCTGTACTACTACATCAATCTGTACCTGTACTACTACATCAATCTGTACCTGTACTACTACATCAATCTGTACCTGTACTACTACATCAATCTGTACAACTACTACATCAATCTGTACCTGTACTACTACACATCAATCTGTACCTGTCAATCTGTACTACTACATCAATCTGTACCTGTACTACTACATCAATCTGTACCTGTACTACTACATCAATCTGTACTACTACATCAATCTGTACCTGTACTACTACATCAATCTGTACTACTACATCAATCTGTACCTGTACTACTACATCAATCTGTACCTGTACTACTACACCAATCTGTACCTGTACTACTACATCAATCTGTACTACTACATCAATCTGTACCTGTACTACTACATCAATCTGTACCTGTACTACTACATCAATCTGTACCTGTACTACTACATCAATCTGTACCTGTACTACTACATCAATCTGTACCTGTACTACTACACCAATCTGTACCTGTACTACTACATCAATCTGTACCTGTACTACTACATCAATCTGTACCTGTACTACTACATCAATCTGTACCTGTACTACTACATCAATCTGTACCTGTACTACTACATCAATCTGTACCTGTACTACTACATCAATCTGTACTACTACATCAATCTGTACCTGTACTACTACATCACTCTGTACTACTACATCAATCTGTACCTGTACTACTACATCACTCTGTACCTGTACTACTACATCAATCTGTACCTGTACTACTACATCAATCTGTACCTGTACTACTACATCAATCTGTACCTGTACTACTACATCAATCTGTACTACTACATCAATCTGTACCTGTACTACTACATCAATCTGTACCTGTACTACTACATCAATCTGTACTACTACATCAATCTGTACTACTACATCAATCTGTACCTGTACTACTACATCAATCTGTACCTGTACTACTACATCAATCTGTACCTGTACTACTACATCAATCTGTACCTGTACTACTACATCAATCTGTACCTGTACTACTACATCAATCTGTACCTATACTACTACATCAATCTGTACCTGTACTACTACATCAATCTGTACCTGTACTACTACATCAATCTGTACCTGTACTACTACATCAATCTGTACCTGTACTACTACATCAATCTGTACCTGTACTACTACATCCAGTCTGTACTACTACATCAATCTGTACCTGTACTACTACATACTACTCTGTACCTGTACTACTACACAATCAATCTGTACCTGTACTACTACATCAATCTGTACTACTACATCAATCTGTACACTACTACATCAATCTGTACTGTACTACTACATCAATCTGTACCTGTACTACTACATACAATCTGTACTACTACAACAATCTGTACCTGTACTACTACATCAATCTGTACCTGTACTACTACATCAATCTGTACCTGTACTACTACATCAATCTGTACTACATCACTACTACTACATCAATCTGTACTACTACATCAATCTGTACTACTACATCAATCTGTACCTGTACTACTACATCAATCTGTACCTGTACTACTACATCAATCTGTACTACTACATCAATCTGTACCTGTACTACTACATCAATCTGTACTACTACATCAATCTGTACCTGTACTACTACATCAATCTGTACTACTACATCAATCTGTACCTGTACTACTACATCAATCTGTACTACTACATCAATCTGTACTACTACATCAATCTGTACTACTACATCAATCTGTACCTGTACTACTACATCAATCTGTACCTGTACTACTACATCAATCTGTACCTGTACTACTACATCAATCTGTACCTGTACTACTACATCAATCTGTACTACTACATCAATCTGAACCTGTACTACTACATCAATCTGTACCTGTAATACTACATCAATCTGTACCTGTACTACTACTACATCAATCTGTACCTGTACTACTACATCAATCTGTACCTGTACTACTACATCAATCTGTACCTGTACTACTACATCAATCTGTACCTGTACTACTACATCAATCTGTACTACTACATCAATCTGTACCTGTACTACTACATCAATCTGTACCTGTACTACTACATCAATCTGTACCTGTACTACTACATCAATCTGTACTACTACATCAATCTGTACCTGTACTACTACATCAATCTGTACTACTACATCAATCTGTACCTGTACTACTACATCAATCTGTACCTGTACTACTACATCAATCTGTACCTGTACTACTACATCAATCTGTACCTGTACTACTACATCAATCTGTACTACTACATCAATCTGTACTACTACATCAATCTGTACCTGTACTACTACATCAATCTGTACCTGTACTACTACATCAATCTGTACCTGTACTACTACATCAATCTGTACTACTACATCAATCTGTACCTGTACTACTACATCAATCTGTAATCTGTACCTGTACTACTACACATCAATCTGTACCTGTATACTACATCAATCTGTACCTGTACTACTACATCAATCTGTACCTGTACTACTACATCAATCTGTACGTGTACTACAACAATCTCTACCTGTACTACTACATCAATGTACCTGTACTACTACATCAATCTGTACCTGTACTACTACACCAATCTGTACCTGTACTACTACATCAATCTGTACCTGTACTACTACATCAATCTGTACCTGTATTGCTGTAGTAATAGTATTGTCGACAGATTTATGCATTTTTTTCGGAAACCATAGAAAGCATGAAGTAATATCAAATGATAGTTCATTCCCTTTTGGATACAAACTTTCATCACCACATCATATCACAATCACTATTACTTAAAACATTTTCATCACCAGGTCCTTAATCGTTACTAGCTCGACTCCTTATCATATCACCCCCTCCTTATCATATCTTCCCTCCTAATCATATCACCTCTCCTAATCATGTCACCCTTCCTTATCATATCACATCTCCTTATCATATCACCTCTCCTAATCATGTCACCCTTCCTAATCATATCACCCCCCTCCATTATCATATCACCCCTCCTTATCATATCACCCCACTTATCATATCACCTGTCCTTATCATATCACCTCTCCTAATTATATCACCTCTCATTATCATATCACCCCCACTTATCATATAACCCCTCCTAATCATGTCATCCTTCCTAACCATATCACCCTTCCTTATCATATCACCCCTCCTTATATCACCACTCCTTATCATATCATCCTTCCTTATCATATCACCTCTCCTTATCATATCACCTCTCCTTATCATATCACCCCTCCTTATCATATCACCAGACTAATTATATTATATATCCCATTTACTTCTGCTGCGTTATTGTCATTTAATCACTATCTCCATCATACCTCCTCTACTCGTCATAACATATCCTCCACCATTTCAACCTTGCTCGTCACAACTTCAAACATCATCATATCCCCCCTATCATAATCATATCACCCGTAGTTTTGTATCACCCCGCCCTATGATAATATCACCTTTGACATTCAGCCCATATTTCACCCTACCTGTGTTTCAAGGTCACATGACGTCATCAATTTCATCCGTTTGTTTAATAATGGCGTACTTAAAAGCTTGTTATTAAATTAATATTATGTACTTAATCAGTCCTGGATACGGCATGTATTTTATTATCAGCAGAGTAAAACAGAGAAATGTAGCGAATTCATCAAACATATATGTCAACATTAATAAAATATCGATTAGGTGTTCTTGCACAAACAACATGATCAGCTAGTTATTAAAACAGATGTCATTTTCTCGCAATTATCAATCGAAAATACAGATCTACGTTAAGATCGTAAAAAAAATGATAAATTGAAAAGCACTGTTTATTTCGAATTATATACCGCAGAGCCAAATAATGAATTGAAATAATCACAGCATAATTACCGTGAACTAAATCCTTCTTACTTACCAGAATTCTGTTTAGAAAGGGTGGAGCCGGAATCACATTATTCTCGGATCGAACGCGGCGAAGAAGTCTCCCCTGTCGGAGAAATGGCCTACCGACTACCTGTTGTCGGGAAACCTTTCTTGGTGGAAATAATCCGAAATTCTGAGTAGAACGTGTCTTCAAAAGTTTCTTTTTCGAAAATTGAGGAATGGTTATATTTAACCTTGATTTGCTCAAACTATCATCTGTCATTTTTAATGCTGGTATAGAATTAGATTTTTTCGTTTTTCTGTATGAAGTTATAGGATTTGTGGATTCCTCGTCTATACTGAAATGTCTACTGCGAAATTGGGGTTGAACACTATTGCTGTATGTACTAAATCGTCTCGTACAATCCGAGTCTGATAATGCCCGATTCTGCATTCGTTTCCTGAATAACAAGTCTGTGTAATCACTTAATTTCCTAGACGAAGAGGCCATTTCATAAACACTAATCTCTGTATTATCTCTCACCATTGGTATTATCACTTTAAAATCCTACCGGCAATACAATCATCAAAGTTAGCACAAACGTCGCACTGAAATCACTATCAAATATAGATATTGCTGAAGAGCTATTATCCGGTGGAAGAGTTCAAATCAATATTATCTCATCAGAACTAGACTGCTTGGATGGGAATATATAATTGATTGAAAAGGGGAAAATGTAATTTCATTTTGATTATTAAAAAAATCAGAGATTTGAAAGTTATATCGATGTTTTTGATGCTTTTATTTGACACACTGTGTTCCCCATAGATAGTGTAGTCATAATAATCCATACACGTTAATCCGAACACCTCCACTTGGTGTTTGCTTATCCGAACTTTAACTGCTCTTTGTCTGTTTATCCAAAAATCCAAATCCGTAAATGATCGTTGAATCATTAAAGTCAGTTTCCTTGACGTACTCAAAATGTGTAACACATAATGTGGAACGTATTTGATTATAACCAACAATCAGCGTGTTTGTTCAATATATTTGTCCTAAAATTGGACAATATTCACGACATCTCGAAATCTGGAAGTGAAAACACGTGCGTCATTATGCACGTTCCAATCACATTCAGCGTTTTATTTAGATAAATACACTCGTGATTTCCGCCCGGGCACTCGACATATATTCCAATTACAGTGACAGGTCGACACATTTTACCGGTAATAAGACCACACCTGTGTATCGTCATCATACTTGTTGTCAGTTACACGGTCCTAGCACAACATCGGCACTCTATGACTATCAGACAAATATTGATTTACGATCTATAATAATGATAAAGCTTATCAAATAAGGCCGATTGGAAAATCCACCCGTTAATTTAAGGGTTTTCCTATATTGATTCGGAGGGCCCTAGATTTGGGGTAGATAACGACTCTGTCTTTGAACACCGCTACAACATGTTTTCAAGAGATAAAGGTCATGACCGGGTATCCTGGCCGCAGTGACAGGGATGTCTTGGAAAATGTTTGTTGGAGCGAAACACAGTGTTAAAACAACGTTTCCATAACGCCATTCATTTCCATGTTGTCCGAGGATAATTGTCTGAGGTCTGAACAACAGTCACGGTTTGTTATTAACAGCTACCATAGACCAGTCCCAGATAAAATCAATAACAGATATTTCTCTAATTCAGGTCTAACTCACAACTTATATATATAACTGACAATTGTCATACAAATAACCAACTTTAACATACAATTTCATTTCAGTAATAATTACCATAACTTTAGTATACTCCATAAAGCTATTGTAAGTGCGGAAATTGGTTTTACATGTAAAAGCCTAAAATTTCTTACACATTTCTGTCACATCAGCAGCTACATGGAACAAAATATAGCCAACATCGTTCTTGATCGGATCGTAACAACTGATTATTTATTGTATAAATGTCAGATGTCCTGGAACAAATGACAGTTGTCCTGGATCAGACTGAAACAACAGTTTCAATGTAAAGCATTTAATGTCCGAGACCGCGTTTTTAAAATCAAGCATGGTAGCCGAGAGATGCTCTAGACGAAGTTTAACCAAACCTAAACTTACTTGTTTAGCCTCATAGTTTCAACCACAAAACAAATGTTTGACATATGTATGCATATACCTATGGTCTATATAGTGGCTAAAATTAGTATATTTTATGTCATAAACATTTTATAAAACTAGACAACAAAATCAATGAAATAAATAATTGAAGCATTGCGATAGATATTCGTAATTATACGGAAACAATTAAGTATTATCATGGATTAATATTTTCTGTAAACATGTCTGTTAATTGTTGATAATATTTCGGATGGTTATTGGAGCTAAACATCGGTAACTATCACGCCACAGAAATTAATGAGACCACTAACCGATGTAATTCAGTTTTTAACAGTGTTACAATGATAGGCTGAAGTATAGATATATCGAGTGTTTCAGTCACATATTTTTTACATATCTATGTTAAGTTAATACGTTATTAAATATGTAAAATAATAACAAAGTAGTTTATGATCTACGCATCGTAAATGAGAATAAAGGATTCTAGCACAGTAGGGTCGATGCACGTGCGTAAATGTACAGAGGAGAAAAACATTGTACCCAGCATGTACCAAACACAAATGGCGCTAACAAAATTGTAGATACAAGACTTGTTTTTTTCAGTCTAGACATATCAAATGTGCCAGCAGGAATATATTTCCGTGTTGAAATGCACTAAACATTTCTTAATTTCAACTGGGTGGCTATTAGAACGATTGATGCTAGATATTTAGAACATTCTTTGTTCTTGATATGATAGTAATACTTCAAGAAAATACTAATTAAGATGTCACGATGTCACGATGTCACGTGTCATCACCATTCAATACAAAGATATTGACGATAAACGCATCCTTGTGTGTGTATTGTAAAACTTCTTTACCAAAATTATTTGTTAAAGAGAAAGATGCAAGGTTATCATTACCTCACATTATTTACAGTCGAAAAACATATGAAAGTACAATCTGTGCAGATTACTAAACTCGCGGATATCTTAATCAGTGATTGTGAAATCAAATGGACATAAAACAAATGTCTTAATAGTTCATTCCCAAAACAAGGTTATCTCCCTTATCGCAACCATGGATAACTTCAAAGACAAGTGTATCAGTGAGACTGATGAATACTCCTCGAAAACGACTTTATTACACAAAATTTAATCAAAGGGCAATAATTCTGTAATTAAGAAGTTGCAGGACCTGAATTTGGTATAGTGCACATTCTCTTAGTATGACCAATGTATACACCATGTTTCAATAACTCCTAAATTATGCAATACAGAGTTATGGTTCTTGAACACTGCACTGATCGAGATCTATCTACATATGAAGTTTTATGTTGAAACTTCATAAGTTTTTGTGATATGCTCCGGACAAAATTATGACGAACGGACGGACTGACGGCCGAAACCTAATCTTATTAACTAATATTTTGTAATCCAAGTACATCAAGATTCCAAGTTTCCATAGATACAATAATGTTACATAATGAGGTGTGAACTGTACCTGTTTCCATAGATACAATAATGTTACATAATGAGGCGTGAACTGTACCTGTTTCCATAGATACAATAATGTTACATAATGAGGTGTGAACTGTACCTGTTTCCATAGATACAATAATGTTACATAATGAGGTGTGAACTGTACCTGTTTCCATAAACACAATAATATTACAGAATGAGACATAGAACTGTACCTGTTTCCATAAACACAAGTAATATTACAGAATGAGACATAGAAATGTACCTGTTTCCATAAACACAATAATATTACAGAATGAGACATAGAACTGTACCTGTTTCCATAAACACAAGTAATATTACAGAATGAGGTGTGAACTGTAACTGTTTCCATAAACACAATAATGTTACAGAATGAGACATAGAAATGTACCGGTTTCCATTAACACAAGTAATATTACAGAATGAGGTGTGAACTGTAACTGTTTACATAAACACAATTAAATTTATTCAGAAAGTAAAATGTAGATCCAACTCACGTGCTCTTTACTTTCCCTGTCAAATTTTGAGGTAGTACCATGATATTTCAACAGACGGCCTTTCTTGTCGTCCTTTTCATTTGCCGGATAACGTCCCTTGGTAATCCCGCTTTTTTGAAAAGATGTATTTCTGACAAACTTTGACTTCGATTTGCTTTCGTAACTGATCTTACGACCAACACTGTTGTACTTCATGTTGAATGTTTTGCTGCGGTTTAGAAGCCGTTGTGTATCTGAGATATGATATTCAGTCATGAGTTCTCTTTGACTGTGTGATACAGTAATGTTACATATCATTTGATATATCCACGTGCCTTACGAAACACATCACCAGTCATCCTGCCTGATCTCCATTGATAATTAAATTTACCAAATATTACCATACTTCACAAATTCGGTTTTCTTGAGAAGTATAACCTCCAAAGGTGTAAGGTCATTTGACCATCTTAACACAACAATGTTTTTTTTTTCTGACAAACATCATGGAATTTTCTATTCGTGTGTATGTTACCATTCACAAATATATGAAATAGAGATTTCCCCCTTTCATATAGCCTTAATGCACCAGATGAGATCAATTTGTATAGAATAAACATTAAGTGTATATAGGACCAGTTAGACGTGAATAAAAATACAAACTAAATCCACTAATACTTTACCTCATCAATAATCACGCTGTTCAATACAAAACGACTCTGCATGAACGACCGGGTGATCCCGCTACCTAATAATCACACAAATTCCTCATAATATCTAACGACCTGTCAGTATTGAAATCTCGCTTTCATGTCAAGGAACTCATGCCACCAACAAATGCATTGTCAACTTAACCAAACACCGAAAATAAAAAAAAGTAAGTGGCACACCTCTCTATTTGATAACTATAAGTAATTCTAGTTTACATAATCATGCCTCACGCATTTTCAGACTTTTTTTGTAAGACATCGAACACTTTACTCTTGAAACATAGAAAGCCTTTTTCCGGTGTGTTTGCTAGTCCCTTTAGATTAAGGTTAGCCAGGGTCAATTGCTTGGTGTTTGCAGTACAATCAGATCACGACTACGATAAAAGCAATTACAGTGCATGTAAAATGCAATACTACTCAAGAAATAGCGAATGATATCAACGTCATAAAACCTTGCGTCGATTAATCAATGTTAGTACGTTTATCTCTTATTTTTGTAATTTCTAGGTTTATCTTTTTACTTCTGTCAGCATCGACAAAACAAACTATTGACATAGTAAGTTCGACACTACATTCACATTCTGACATAATTTACCAGTGTTATTTAAAGTATTTATGTATTTTCCGTTTGCAGCATTTTTTTTTCTCATATCAATCAGTGAAAAAAAAAAAAAATTCCGTTAAGTTCATGGCTGATTAAATTGTGGGACTTGACTTTGTGGCGGTATTTTCTCC